ATAGAATGAGAAAGACTAGAGATCTCTTCAAGAAAATTAGAGATACCAAGGGAAGTTTTCATGCAATAATGGTCACAATAAAGGACAAAAATGGTATGGATCTAATAGAAGCAGAAGATATTAAGAAGAGGTGGCAAGAATACACAGAATACAAAAGAAAGATCTTCATAACCCAGATAATCACGATGGTGTGATCACTCACCTATAGCCAGACATCCTGGAAGATGAAGTCAAGTGGGCCTTAGGAAGCATCACTATGACCAAAGCTAGTGGAGGTGATGGAATTTGAGTTGAGCTATTTTGAATCCTAAAAGATGATGCTGTGAAAGTACAGTATGCCAGCAAATTTGGAAAACTTAGCAGTAGCCATAGGACTGGAAAAGGTCAATGTTCATTCCAATTCCAAAGAAAGGCAATGCCAAAGAGCACTCTAACTATTGCACAATAGCACTCATCTCACATGTTAACAAAGTAATGCTCAAAATTCTCCAAGTCAGGCTTCAATAGTACATGAACTGTAAACTTCCAGATGTTCAAGCAGGGTTTAGAAAGGGCAGAAGAGCCAAAAATTAAATGGATCATTGAAAAAGCAAGAGAGTTCCAGAAAAACATCTACTTCTGCTTTATTGACTATGCCAAAGCCTTTGACTGTGTGGATTACAACAAACTGTGGAAAATTCTTGAAGAGATGGGAATATCAGACCACCTGACCTGCCTCCTGAGAAATCTGTATGCAGGTTAAGAAGCAACAGTTAGAACTGGACATGGGACAACAGACTGGTTCCAAATCGGGAAAGGAGTACGTCAAGGCTGTATATTGTCACCCTGCTTATTTAACTTTTATACAGAGTACATCATGAGAAATGCTGGACTGGATGAAGCACATGCTAGAATTGGGAGAAATATCAATAGCCTCAGATATGCAGCTGACACCACCTTTATGGCAGAAAGTGAAGAAGAACTAAGGAACCTCTTGATGAAAATGAAAGAGGAGAGTGAAAAAGTTAGCTTAAAGCTCAACATTCAGAAAACAAAGATCATGGCATCTGGTCCCATCACTTCATGACAAATAGATGGAGAAATAGTGGAAACAGTGACAGGCTATTTTTTTGGGTTCCAAAATCATTGCAGATGGTGACTGCAGCCATGAAATTAAAAGACATTTGCTCCTTGGAAGAAAAGCTATGAACAACCTAGACAGCATATTAAAAAGCAGAGACATTACTTTGCCGACAACAGTTCCATCTAGTCAAAGCTATGGTTTTTCCAGTAGTCATGTATGGATGTGAGAGTTGGACTATAAAGAAAGCTGAGTGCCGACGAATTGATGCTTTTGAACGGTGGTGTTGGAGAAGACTTTTGAGAGTCTCTTGGACTGCAAGGAGATCAAACCAATCCATCCTAAAGGAAATCAGTCCTGAATATTCATTGGAAGGACTGATGCTGAAGCTGAAACTCCAATCCTTTGGCCACCTGATGTGAAGAACTGACTCATTTGGAAAGATCCTGATGCTGGGAAAGATTGAAGGTGGGAGCAGAAGGGGACGACAGAGGATGAGATGCTTGGATGGCATCACCAACAAAACGGACATGAGTTTGAGTAAACTCCGGGAGTTGTTGATAGACAGGGAGGCCTGGCGTGCTGCAGTCCATAGGGTCATATAGAGTCGGACATGACTGAGGGACTGAACTGACCTGAACTCATAGATAACAGTCTGTAAGTTTTCTCTCTCTCTTTTTTTTTTTTTGGTAACTCCTAGCAAAATTTATGGGGCTTCCCCAGTGGTTCAGTGTGTTAAAGAATCCTCCTGCATGCAGGAGACACAGGAGACTCAGGTTTGATCTCTGGGTTGGGAAGATCCCTTGAAGGAAGGAGATCTCCTGGAGGAGGAAATGGCAACCCTCTCCAGAATTTTTGCCTGAAAAATCCTATGCATAGAGAAGCCTAGGAGGCTAAGGGTTGCAAAGAGTCAGATATGACTGAACACATATGCATTTCATGGAGTTCCCTCCGGATTCCCCTTCAAGGCAGCTAAGGAGAAGGGGATGAAAAAGGATAACAGGGTTGGATGCCATCACTGACTCAATGGACATGAATTTGAGCAAACTCTGGGAGATGGTAAAGGACAGGGAAAAGTGGTATGCTGCAGTCCATTAGGTTGCAAAGAGTAGGACACAATTGAGCAACTGAACAACAACGAAATTTATAAATCTATAATATTTATCAATATTTACTTGTTTTATAGGGCTCCCCAGGTGGCACTAGTGGTAAAGAACCTGCCTGCCAATGCAAGAGACATAAGAGGTGCAGGTTTGATTCCTCTGTTGGGAAGATCCCCTGGAGAAGGAAATGGCAACCCACTCCAGTATTCTTGCCTGGAGAATCCCATAGATAGAGGAGCCTGGCAGGCTATAGTCCATGGGGTTGCAAAGAGTCGGACACGACTGAAGTGACTGAGCACGCACACACTTTTTAAATGTCCATTTCCCCACTAGATTGTAAGGGTTAGTGTTGTGTTCACTATTTCAATTACTATATCTGGTATTTAGAAACTACTTGATAAATATTTGTGGGAAGAGGAAGGAAAGACTGGAATAGGATTCTGGGCAAAGGAAGAGAGAAGAAGAGAGGAAGAGATGGAGGGAACTGGGGTCCTGGCCCAGGTCAGTTTGGGTCCCATGCTAGAGCCCCATCCACATCCTTGCTTGGGGAGAAAAGGAGTGGACTTTCAGGAGAAGGCAGCTCCCACAGCTCACTCAGCTTCCAAGTGTGTTGATCACCAACTTGCTGATGATCAACCTACTCATGGCACAAAGAATATCCTAATACCCCTGACACCCCCGATCATGTTCTGTAACAGGATCAAGTGCCCAGTTGCCTGGGAGCAAATTAGTGACTTCAGATTGATAATGGTCTCTCTCTTTAACAAACCTGACACCCTCCCTTTGGTTCCACCCCGGAGTTCTCTCCTTGGGGATTCACCTAAAACACCACTTTGTTCCGTGGCCCCTACTCTGTCATCTCTCCTGTCTCATGTCTTTTCTTTGGTCATGTCTGTTTATCCCTTCTGTGAATAGCTGTTTGGAATCTGTCCGACTCCTTGTGACCCCATTTACCATGTTCAATCCAGTTCAACTCAACATATAGTTATTGAATACCTATTTTTATCCACATTAGAAAAAATGTGGGGCTGTTCTCTTTAAGAAGGAGATGGCAGAAAAAGGAGGTGTGGTGAGTCTATCAGGGAGGTTGCAGTTAACACTGCAGTTAACACCGGGGTAGAATTCAGTTGACAACAGACACCTCCTTCAAAATTTAGAAGCATCTTCTCTCTGCCAGGAAAGCTCGTCAGGATGGATCAAGAGTTCAGGGTAATAATGGAGTTGGTGAGCACAGCTAACAGCTTCTTTTGTAGACAAGAAGGGGTGAGTTGGAGAAAGAAGCAGATATACTAAAGCTGTGGCTATGTAAGCCCTGATGGCAGGCAGGCTGTAAAAGACCTAGGGAAGCAAAGCTCCCAGAGGAGGATCAAGACGGCTGTTGAGTTAACTACTCTGCACCTAAGCACTTACTTTTTCACGAATCCTTGCTTGTAAAAACAAGATAAATACACTTGCTTTTATGTACGCATTTTTGTCTGGCCAATAAAGACTGCTCTTTAATTTAGGATATTCTTATTGGCATCTTCAAAGAAAGCAAGTAAAATGTGGTACACAGGTGTATCACTGAAATACCCCAACTCTGGAACCTTTGCTGTCTTAGCAATCATGTCTGTCACCTGATGGCAGCCAAGGGTCATAAGGCACGGTCATCAACGTTGGAAGAGACTTGGATGTAATCTCACTATATTGTCTCCCAAACATTTGAGTCTCCTCCATGCACTATTTTTGACAGTGTCATTTAGCTTCAAGTTGAACACTTTAAGTAAGGCCAAGTTCACAGCTCACATACCCGTTCCATCACTGGGCAACTCTAATGGTTAAAAAGCTCAGTTTCTCTATCGGCCTTACCTCTTGCTTTGGCTCCAAGTGGAAGATGTCTGTCCTCTCTCATAACTCTTCAGAGAGTTCTCTCAGCTATGAAACCCCAATATCTTCTCCTATTTCTCACAGTCTTACCCCATTAACAAACTCAGTGTGGACCTCCCCGTTTCCCTTCTTCCTGGAATAGCAGGTCCTTTTATCTGGGAATATGTTCATCACTACAACATACACTGCAAGTTTGGCTACATGACTCTGGTGAGGCTCTTCTGTCCTGTCAGATCCTAGCCTCTTGGGACAGAGTTGCCTTGCGCAGAGGTGTCCATGTCCTCCCAGTCAGGCCAAGCACAATCCACTTGGAACTGGAGCTAGAATATGAGACTGAGTCACTCTCTCTAGTGGAAGAAGTGCTGGATGTAATACTTGGCACATGTTCCCTACAGGTACAGGAGGCCAGACTGCAGTCTTTGCCTATATGGGGCTCTGGGATTATTCCAAAAAATTCTCTCGTTACCAGCCCAGGTTGGATGCATGAGACAAGTGCTCAGGGCTGGTGCATGGGAAGACCCAGAGGGATGGGATGGAGATGGAGGCGGGAGGGGGGATTGGGATGCGGAACACATGTAAATCCATGGCTGATTCATGTCAATGTATGGCAAAAACCACTATAATATTGTAAGGTAATTAGCCTCCAACTAATAAAAATAAATGGAAAAAAAAATCTCTCTTCTTTGTAAATTAGCTCAAGTTGTATTTCTTTTGCTTGTAACCCAAGAGCCCTGACAACTGTAAGTGGGTATATTTCCTTCATCCCATGAGATCTCCACAACTGAAGCTGGTGTTTGTGAGGGGTGGGGAAGGCACTTTTTCAGAGAAGAGACCAGCAGGCCTAGTCCCTCCCTGACTTTGACCCTGAATTCCTCATTTGCAGCCCCTGGTGGACTGTCCCGGTACCACATCGCCCGTTTCCCAGATCAAGCCGGCAGACCAGCAATTGCTGAGGAGGTTCAGTTACTCACGGGGTCGTTGTACATCTGAATGATGAGCTGTTTCACCCCATGCAGGGTGGGGTGGGCCCACGGAGAGGGATCCAGCCAGTGGCGGTTCAGGTCGAACCCCATCAGAGAGCACCTAGGCAGTACCCAAAGTCAGAGTCAGTACACAGAGGACAAGCCAAGCTCCTCACTTCTCCAAAATACAGTTAGGAATGGGAGCAGTCATTATGTCACTTACCTAGTGCAGTTTTTTTTTGTTTTGTTTTTTTTGGGCCAGAGACAGCACTGAGCATATTTTTACATGTATTAATTCAGTTACTTTCAACAACACTATGAGGGCACTGCTATTATAATTCTCACTTGACAGGAAAAGAAACTGAGTCACGGAGAGGTTCAAACATTTCTGTGGAGCCGTCTCACTTCCGTGATCACTCCCTGAGACCATAGATGCATGTGCTTCTTCTATACAGGGCCAGAAAGAAGGCTCAGGCCCAAACCACTGGCATCCCCACTGTTCTTCCCTGTCTCACATTCACAGCCAGTCCATTGTGTCTACCCTCAAAATATACTCAGAACCGAGCACTTCTTTATCACTTCCACTACTGTCCCCTTAAGCTTGGACCAAGCTCAGTACTGTAATACTCTCTTACCTGGTCTTGTTTCCACCCTTGTACCTCCCATCCTACCTCATCCTAGACACCCATCTCTCATTTCTCATACAATAAACAGGGTGATCCTATTAAAGCATAAGTCTGATTATGGCCCTTTTCTGCTCAAATGGTTCTCTACTAGATGCAGAGTAGAAGCCAAAAGTCCTTACCACCAGCTACAAGCAACCATGTGGTCCCCTCTGTTATCTGCTATGAGCTCAGCTCCTACCACCACCCCCTGTTGCTTCCGTGCCAGATTCTGGCCTCCTACTGTTCCTCCAACACACTGGGTACTTCCAGCCCCAGGACTTTTGTACAGCTCATCCCCTCGGCCTGGAAGCCTCTTCCTCCAGATAGGTTCAGGATCTGTTCTCACTTAGCACCAATCTTAGCTCACAGGTCACCTGCTCAGTGAGAGCTACCCTGCCCACCTTCTCCATGACCTCCCTTGGGCACATTCATTACTTCACTAGGACAAGTGGGACCATGACTTCTGATCTCCCTGTCTCCCTCTTCCTCCTGTTCTTCCTCCAGATCGACTCAAAGCCCTGCTTGTCCTTGGGAGGAGGTACCTCCCCAGGTCTCTGGGTCTGTGCCTCCATCTGCCAGACCTTCATATGCTGTAGGCACTCTCTGGGCCCCCCCAGGCTGAGGGACAACTCCAGAAAACCTGTGCTTGCTCACAACTCAAATGACTGTGCCCATCCTTCTCCTGTCTCCAGAATGTCTCCCACACAGATCTGATGATCATGCTTTCTTGATCAAGATTCATCTATGATTCTCCATCACCTGTAGGATAAAATTCTGCTCTTTGCAGATTTTTAATCAGATTTAAAACTGACGATGGCCTTTCTTTGCCCAAATGTCCCTTTTTCTCTCTCTATCCCTCTGTCCTATTATTTAATCCATTCCATCTTGCTTCCCAAACCCTTCCCTCTATTCCTTAAGTAATAAAATTTAACCCCCCCTCTCAGGTGGCTCAGATCGTAAAGAATCTGCCTGCAAAGCAGGAGACCTGGGTTTGATCCCTGGATCGGGAAGATGCCCTGGAGGAGGGCATGGCAATCCACTCTGGTATTCTTGCCTGGAAAATCCCATGGACAGAGGAGCCTGGAGGGCTGTAGTCTGTGGGTTCTCAGAACTGGACACAACTGAGTGACTAACACTATATTACTACTACAACTTATTACATGTACATTCCCATCTCTCACCTTATTCAGAAAAAAAATAAAAAGGACTCTACTGGGGACCACCAGTAGGAACACTAAGACTACCTCTCCTTCAAGGTGGTTGGGGAGTAAATAATAATTTCCTCTCTTAAAATAAGCGGGCTGGGAACCCCATGGAGGAATAATTAATGTTTCGTGGGGACACATGGGGAAAGGCTTCATTGAGGAGAAGCCACTTGACTTGTCTTACTGAACGAACGCTTGCAGGTGGGGGCAGAAGGGAAAGTGTAAACAAAGAAAGGAATTATGAAGCCACCCAGGCTTCTGGAGGAACGGTGGGCAATTTGGTTTGATTGAATCACAGAGGATGTAGTGAGGAGGTGGTGACAGTGAATAATAAAGGGAGTGGGAGGGGAAATGTAAGGGCCTCCAATGCCTGGCAAGGAGGTTCACTGTTTTATCTTCACATTTCTGTATTTAGATGAATCAAGTGCTGATGTTGGCTTCTCACTGATGGTGGAGTGGAAACAGAGCTTTATATGCATTTTACAATATCATTACCATCACAATTAAGGGGTCACAGTCAACAGAACAGTTACTGATATTGTTTGTCTCAAAAATTAAGTACTTTACTAAGTGTGAAATACTTCATTAAATGTCAACCTTATGAGAGAGTGCTATTATTATTCCCATTTTGCAGATGTGGAAACTGAAGCATAGAGCCTGAGAGAACAGGTGAAGTCATGATCAGCTTATGAACATTCTCACAATTGCATGCTCACAAGAAACACAGTCTAACATAGTCTAGAGAAAGAAGATCTGCTCACAGGCTCATGTCCATTTGCAATTCAGAACCCCATGATGAGGATTAAATGAGATAATACATGTAACGAGTTTAACTTCACACAGGTTCTGGCACGTGGTGGCAATCAACAAGGTTACACTGTCCCCTTGTACTTTGCCATGGTTTTGTGCTACGCGATGTATGTGTAACATAAACTGATAGATTTGAGATCCATCAGGGGGCTGGAGTGGGCAGTGGACAGTGGCGGTCAGGAATGACCTTCTGGCTTTCTCCCCCAGTCTGGAAATCAGGCAGATCTGAGTTCATATCCATGCTCTGTTCCCTCCTAATGTCATAGGCATTTGTCCATATTCTTCTGCCAATGCCAGCATCTAACTGTGAGATGGAGCGGAGTTGGGGAGAGTTCATTCCTCTATCATTACAAGATGCTGAGACTGTGGTGGTGCCTTTTCTCTTACCACACAAGAGAGATGAGCCAGATGACCTAGCAGGCAGGGGAGCAGCAAGAAACCCAGACTTAGGCCACAGCTACTTCTGCCCAGGACTTAAACTTGGATCAGGTGATGTGAGGCTGGCAGTTGGGTCACACAGCAGTGCTGTGGTGGAACAGAGGCAGATTATTCCTGCCAACAGCCATTTATTTTTGTCCTCCAGAGCTACTCTGTTAGTTGGTCTTTTTCCAAATCTGGACCTCGAGCTGCTGCTTCATTCTGTTAGCCCCTTCCAATAAATTTCACTTTTTTTTTGTTTAAGTAGAAGGGTCAGTCTCTATTTCTTTAACTGAAAGCATCCCTAACTGTATGGTTCTGTGGGCAAATTTATGGAAAACTCCAGCAGGTCCTCTATATTGTCTGCTTCTTAATGGCTGGTCACCAAGCAGGTGAAACCATTGATCTAGGTGTTGTTCCCACAGAGTTTTTCCAGCCTGCACCGAGCACCTAAAAATTTGGAAGGGAACACTGTCATTGATAACAGGATTTAGTCATAAGCAACTGTATCCTTAGAGATGGTTAGCTTACTTACTTCCCCCTCTTCTAAATAAGAATGCCTTCAGCAAAGTCTTGGCCAAGTCACTTTTTCCATGACACCGCCAGGCCCTGGTACTCACCATCCCCCCAAACAGCTTATCCCATTCTTAGAAAGCTCTGTTAAGAAAATCTTCCCTGTCTTTAGCTGAAATTTGTCTTCCAGTGACTCTCTCCATCAGTCTCAGCCTTGCCCCACAGAATAACACAGAACAATGAGGTTATGTTGGGAAGACTAGATGCTTTGGAAGTCAGTTAGGCTTAAGTTTTGGCTGTACTCCTTACCAGCTGTGTGACTTTAAAATTTCTTTTTTAAAAACCCCTCTGGGTTTCTGTTTTATCATATGTGTAATGAAGAGAACGACCTTGACCTGGATTGCATACATGAACAAATGTCTACGAATGGCCCAGCAGAATCCTCAGACAGAATGAACATTGAATAAAGGGTAGCCAGTGATGGCACTGGCACTGGTGGTAACTGTGGTATATTTTTGAAATTGTCTGAGCCTAAATATCATCTCCTCCAGGAAGGCTTGCTGACTTACTCTCTGCAAACACGTGGTGGGTGTTTTTCCTCTGCTCCTGGCATCCATTGCTCCCCCATCAGGGTGGCTACCACGTAAAATATAATCATTGTTGAGTCTGTCTTCCCCACTGGACCATGGGTTCCTCGAGTGCAAGGATGATGTCTTATTCATGTTTGTATTCCTGTGCCTGACAAAAAGCCTGGACTATAGCAGACATTAAAGATGTAGTTGTCGAATGAACATTTCACTCTTTCCCAAGCATTTTCCTATATCCTATGATATAGTTCTCAGAAACATCCAGCCACACAGGCAGATTGCATTTTTTTTCAAGTGAGAGCACTGATGGCCAGAGCAAATAAGCCATTCTTCTAAGGTCAGCTACCCAGTACTGCACAGGGCCCAGACTGGAATCCAGGAGGTGTGCTGGCTCTGGTCTCCATGATCTTCACACCTGGTCATGTTACTTGCTGGGAGCCTCTCTAATTCAAAAAAGTGAGATTCAAAATGGAAGGAAAAGTGTCATTGCTGAGATATCCTGAAAGATCCACTCCTTGATCCAAACTTCAGATGAAAGCAGAGTATGGCTGGGGATTCAAAGGCAACTCAATCCTCAAGAATCCTGGAGTGCTTTAGAAGCTAAAGCATTTGTGAAACTCTTAAATCAACAGTACCTGTGCTGGGTTCTTTTTGAGCTGATTTTTAAAGAAAGCTTCTATTGGCAACCAGCCTATCAGTAGAAAGACTGATATTTATTGAAGAAAACATCTTAGTAAAGTTGTAGGAGCTCTGGCTAGGGACCAGAGCACAGGCCTCAATGTCTATGTCATGTTAGGAAAGACATCTCCCTCTCCTAGGCTCCATGCACTTTGTAGAATGAGGGGGCTACACTTCATGCATAAAGGACCCTTCCAGCTCTCTCATTAAATGATTCAAAGGCATCAGTAACTGGGCTTTACCTCT